CTCATCCTCCTTCTCTTCTTTTTTCCCTCTTTTCTCTCTCCCTTCCTTTCTAGTGAACAGCACAGAATGTTCTCCATTTTATGAAGAAAAACTTCCTCTCCTGAAACCTGGGAGGGTGGGAGAAATGAATGCAGAAAGTAGGAGAAGTTGAGAAGCTCACTTCCCACCTGAAACATTCTTCTAAATATTCAAGACAGTCTTCCTAAATATTGCTACTTTTATCATATTTATTCTATTAAATTATAGATCCTTTGCGGACTGTATCATACTAATCTTTGAACTCATTTCCTTCTGTCCTCAGTTCCCAGAACTCGCTGCACACTAGGAATGAATTCATAAATGTTTTCTGAACTTAATGGAAAAAACTGAGCTCTTATCCTGATGCTTATGATGCTACTCCCAGGTGGGAAAAAAAAATGTTCTCATTCATTTTTCTGCCTTTTCAAACTCTATCTACCCTTCCAGTCTCATCTCTTCCTTGAAGCTTTTGCCTACTATTCTGGTCTACATGCTGAGGTCTTTCTTTTGTGAACTCCCATGATGCTTGCTTGCTTTCTTTCCTTTTTTTTTGGCTTCTTATATAACACCTCATATTTTTAACTCTTAATGTCTTAGATATATGTTTTCCCCAATCTAGGAGAAGAGGTAGTTGAGTGGAACATACCTACAAATCAAATACTTCTGTAATAATGAATTAAAAAGATATATAAAAATCAAATGACATAACTATAAATATTAAATGGAATTTGAGATAAGATTTTCCTCAGAAGGGAATTTTCTTTACAAATTACTTGTCATATCCTGTAGCATTGTGTGGTGATTTATATAAGACATGTTATATTTTGTTGGCATCTAGTTATGCCTTAGTTGCATTGAATGTACTAAGAGCACAAAAAAAGTGATGCAAAAATTGTTTTAACAATCAATGTAGAAAAACCCCATTTCATGAATATCCTTGAAAAGAAATAATTATACTTTCTACAAATCAAAATTGGCCTGCTTTTGTTAAAATAAAACCTTGACAGAAATAGCACCAAATTCTAATGGTTTCTTTTATTTTTTTAACCAACTATTAAAATATCCTTCCATAGTATAAGTTGGATTCTCCTACCATTAGAAAAGCCTAGGGTCAATTGCTTTTAAATCACTTAAATGATTCTAATGAGGACAACCCCTTTAGTGAAACAACTTGCTCCATATCCACTAATTTTGCTATTTTTCTAATTTTCTTTCATCTGAAATATGTGAATATGGAATGGGTAAGATAATATCTTATTTGGGTATGGACTCTCAGGTACTTGAAATATATATTTTCAAACATCTTGAATACATATGCCTGCCAGGGCTCTATTTCCTTATATTAACTCTCTTATCATATGCACTTCATATGGCACTTCAACATGCTGCTCCCAAAAGGCGACATAGTTTGCGCAAGAGACTTGGTGTAACCTGCAACTTTCTTATCCTCATCATGTTATTACTCTGGGCCTACCTCTGCCTGTGTAGGGAACTGTGCTAGTGAAGCTCCAGGGACACTAAGAGTTACAAGCTATGGTTCCTACTCTATAATGAAGTACCAGTTGCCATGTAGTCAGTTCTGACTCATAGAGACCCCATGCATGTCAGAGTAGAACTATACTCCATAGGGTTTTCAATGGCTGGTTTTTTTGGAAACAGATCACCAGGACTTTCTTCTGAGGTGTTAACTTCCAATCTTTCGTTAGCAGCCAAGCATATTAACTGTTTGTACCACCCAGGGACTTCTGCTCTATAGAGTAGGAACAAGTAAAATGTCTATTTGTAGTTCAGATAAAAGATGCTGTAGGCATTCTAAGAAAGAAGTAATCACATGGCTTTAATGAAGGAGGAATTAAAATGATCTTGACTGGTAGAGTCTACATCAGTAGAGCAGGAGAGGGAGATACTATCTGGGGAGGAAAAAGAGGCCCACAGACATCCTGGGAATAAGTACGTTAGGGTCAAACACAAAGCTACAAGTCCTTTAGTCTGGGATACAGCTAGTACATAGAAGATTCGTGGGAGAAAAGGCAGCCAGATCATGAAGGGCACTGAAACAGAAGCTCCAGCGGTCTCAGCTTTATTTGGCAATGGGAGTCCTGACAATATTTAGTGCTGAGATGTGACACTTCCAACGTGGCATTTCAGATTGGAAGGTTGTAAGGGTGAGCTGCATAAGGTATATGGCACAAGGGGAAGTCTGGAGGCAGAAGGTGCCATAGGAGATTATTTTACAACAGTAGAGGGGAGTCAGGGCTGAAATGATGGCAGAGAAAATGAGAAGGAAGAATTAGAATACAAAAGACATAGCAAAACATGAATCAACAGACTTGGTTGGCTCACTGAGTGTTGTTGGGAAAGAGATACAAGAAATAGTTAAAGGGGCCTACATGTTCGGTCTCATTTTCCACTCCTCTTTGTATTAACCCACTGCCGTCGAGTTGATTCTGACTCTTAGAGACTCTATGGGACAGAGCAGAACTGCCCTATAGGGTTTCCAAGGCTGTAATCTTTACGGAAGCAGACTGCCACTTCTTTTTCCTGTGGAGCAACTGGTGGGCTCAAATCAATAACCTTTCGGTTAGCAGCCGAGCCCTTAACCACTAGGCAAACAGGGCTCCTTTTTCCTCTTTGTATTAGACACTTATAAATTTGGTTTTTGAGGCCCAACTTCTCCATCCATTTTTTTTTAGGACTGCCCCACCCCACAGCCTCCCATGCTCCCACTAGAACCAGTCAGTTCAGAGACAGGCACATGATAATCCATGTGCCTATCAATTCCTGCCCCAGGAATTTGGAATCTGGCCTGACAGCCAGAGGTTGTTCCCCTCTGAGGTATTTGGCAGTGGCCCTTTTCTTCCATGTGAACTGGGAAGCTGAAAAGATGCCTCGCAGTGAAAGAGAAAAAGTAGGCAGAAATGAGAGAGAAAAAGAAAGCAGAAGTGAAAAGCAAACATGAGAGAGAGAGAAAAGGCTAGGAACAGGTTCTTTGTTACACTTTAGTCCCTGCTTCTGCATACCCTTCTGGATGGAACTGCATCCTTTCTCTTTAATTCTGTAGGACATTCTTATAACTCAGAAATACATCCTTTCTTTTGATTAAGCTAGCCTGGCAAGCTTATTGTTACTTGTAGCCAAAATGGTTCAAACTGATATATTCCTCAACATAAGCTCTCCTTCTTCACTCAAATGGTCTTCTGACTACTCACTAAACTACAGCCTTTACTGACTGCACATTTTTACACCATTGCCTTCATCTAGAATGTCTTTCCCTTTCCAAATGCCACTGACTCTGCCTGTATAAATCCTGACTATCCTTCCTTTTTTCTATCTCCCTTTTTTTATTAAGTGCCTTTTGAGTGAGTCCACAATATCTGTAATTTGCAATGTTATTACGTTTTTCCCTTTTAAGTCTCAGATTTTTTTGAACTTATTGGAAGCATAATTAGAACTTACATAAACAGGGTAGAATACGGCAGATGGTAGTGGGCGATCAGGAAATTTATGTTCATATCTATATAAATCTAAGGAAATTCAAAGAGTCAATAATCTACTAGAATACTTATGCCTTCAACTCTAAGGCGGACTCAGACGGAAGCCAGTAGGCTACTTGGCCAAAGTGATATTTTACACTAGGAAGTATATTAATTAGGAGTATTAGATGGAATAAGATAAAAATGGCCCATATACAAGATAATGCATGATACATTATTGCAGAGGTGCTATAAATTAAATTTTATAGCTATCTGGAGGAAGTCCTATAGCTAGTGAGAGGCAGATCTGGAAGCCGCCAATGCTTTCTGACTAAACTCAGTGCTTTCTCTACTATGCCAAACCACCCTATTGGAAATAAAACAAAACAAAACAAAACACATCAATTTTTAGATGATAAAACAATAAAATTCAATTTAATGTATTCAAATATTTAAAAAAATACAATCTATTTTAAATTATCATCCATTAAAAAGGTAATATACTCTAGGAAGCATCTTGAACCTAACACTCAGGATGTATTAGAAAGCAAAAAAATAAAGATTATGATTTTTTTCTAAGACACCACAGAATATCTTTTATAAAGGCCTCTCTTTGCCTCTAGAAATGAGAAAAACAGTCTGCTCTCCTGTGAAATCTCCTATAAATTCAGAATACAATGGTGTTGCTTTTTCCTTCAGCAATGGTAGCCTTTGTTCCGGTGGCTTATAATACCTCAGGAGGGGAAAAACCAAAATTGCCTCATGAAAGCAATAAGAAAATTTCTAGCAAATGGGTGGACATTTAATAAGCAAGATAAAGTGCCAAGAAATAGTAATGTCTCGTTCTGAACCACTCAAATGAACACTCCTAAGACCCAAAAGCATTCACACCAGGAGATTACACAAGGAACACTGGGTAGAGATGAGCTATTGTACAAATAATCTATTGCTAAGCAGGGCAGAAATACTGTTTACATGAAAATGGGATGATCTCTGGTGAATACTGAAAGAAAGTGATAATTTCCATAACCAGAAAAAGCATTTTTACATCATTCCATTTCAACTGTTATAAAACCCTGAGTTGCTTTGGCAATTGCTTTCCCCTGATTTGCTGGCTTTATATCACCCTCATCTCTACAGCTTTCCACTTACTAAATGGCAGGGTTTCTTTGTTACTGTTGTTTTGGTTTTTCTGGGTTTTTTTTGTTTTGTTTTGTTTTTTAACTCTAAAGCCTTGGCAGAAAACACCATGTTGTATGTTTCCAGGGACTCACCTTGCAATGCTCATAAAATAAATTTTTGGTGCCCCTATGATAATAGACCAAATGGTTTCCCTTCCCCCCTCCAGTTAAATTGCTGAAAATATGATCAGAGAAGGCCCCACTAACAGCAACTGTAAGCTATGCACTCCTCTAGTTTTCCAAAGCCTGTCTCTGTAGAATGTTTGTTATACTGAGAACAAAGCAAAGAGTTGCTTCAGTGAAAGGAAGGGAATACAAAGACACTTACCTGCATCACAATGAGGAGGTCAAAGACCAAGATGAAGGAAGCCAGGAACGCTCTAGAAACTTCATCGCTGGGCAAAAATCCCCGATTCAGCTTGTCCCAGCTGATCCAGTCAGTTGTGATGACAAGTACAACTACAGAAGTCAGAGTAAAAAGAACCGTCCTGCAAGAAAGAAGACATTCATTTAAGAACATTAGAAATCTACAGGCAGTGGAAACTGCATGTTATCTGTGCTGTATTAAATGTCTACCTCTTGCCAAGTATCTATCCCAAGGCATATTCACCAAACAGAAGATGAGAAAAGAAGTACATTAAACTGCTTTCTTTTAAAAGCAATTAGAAAATGGTATGATAGCATCTCTTCCAAGACTTTCCCTGATGAACATTAAGAAAATGATTATGGAACAAATAATTAACAACAAAAACATTACAAATGACCTTGTTTAGTGTAGTATGTATCCCAAAGAGAATACTGGTATGTAGCTCTCATTATGTGTATTTTGTTTAACTGAGGGTCATGGACATGCATATGTAAGAGCAAAAGGCAGATGTTGAATGGTGAGGAAGACCTTGGAAGCCATTATCCTCCTACAGAAGAGAGGGCTAGATCAATCTCATCACAATCCCCACGGCCTGATGAGCTTCACAGAGGAACCTTCTCTAAATATCCACAGTGTAGCCCCTTCTCCTCATAGGGCACATACTGTAGGTGCCCTGTGGACTACTGACCTCTTGCCGTGTCTGATCTTCCTTTCCTTGTTGTAAGTTACTAGGCACTTGAAATTTTATGTGTCTTTGTAGCCCCCGTAAAATCTTGCATAATTTTATACGGATAGAATTCAATGAGTGCTTGTTGAAATGGTAACAATTATCAGTTAAGCTTTCGTAAAAATCAAAGAAATACTTAAATTAGTCTTTGATATTGATGTTCAAAGTAGATCTGAAATGTGGGTGGTGGAAATGTAATCTGTCAGAGAATTGTTCATAATGTAGTTAAGCCTCTGCTTCTCCTTTCAGAGCTATATTGGTATCTGGATATTGTTTGATTTATATAAAGGAAAAACATAGAACAATTATACTGAAATAAATTTTATCAGAAAGGAAGAGAAAAAGAAGGCCAAAAAGAGGAAAAAAAAAAAAAAAATAAGAAAATAAGGAAATGTTATACCTTAGAAGAACGCAAACCCATTTTGCCAATTAACAAATTGATTTTGCCCACAAATGATTTATAATATTGTCACTTAAAAGATATTAATCATCCTAGAATCCTCATTTTAATTGTACAGAGTATAAATTTCTAAACCAATATTTTGAGTTTCCTTTTCATTAACTTATTTGTAGCAAGCTATACTTTGACATAATGGATATAATGAAATCCTGCTTAGATTTTCCTCCCTATAATTAGAAAAGAGTTATTATTTAATTTTTTTTTGGAAAATAAAGACCTCTATTAAAACTCATCCATTTTATTAAAATTGCAAACTTCTCAAAAGAAGTTGACTCATGACATCCAAAATTTAAATTACAAACTGCCTACTGCTACCATTTAGAATACCTTTGATCATTTACAAAAATTTAAATGAACATGGGAGAATTCCAAAATAAGCATTACAATTCAACAGAAAAAAAAAAAACCAACAACAAATATTACATAATCAAGCATAAGAATAGTGGAATTTTAAACACATTTTTCTCCAGGTTAAGTCAATTTTGTTTTGTTTTGTGCGTGTGTGTGTGAGCGTGTGTGCATTTTGTTTGAGAAACTAAACAAATCTGAAATTACCACAATTTCTTTTGTCAATAAGGAGAATAACAATCTTCATAAATAACAGATAAATGTTGACTATTCTTCAAAGCTCCTTTAGGTAATAAGGGTATAGCCTCATCACTTTGGGTTTTGCAAATGTGTTTCCCACAAGGATGCTATGAATATACTCCCTTCCTCAGGTAGATACGCAGCTGGATGCACTGGTATGGCCATGTAGATTGATGAATAACTGGGGTTCCAATTCTCTCAAGTTCCCCCTTCGTTGCCTCCCAGCCTTTTCCATAGAACCCCCCACATCCCTAATACCCTGCACGACACAGTTAACCCCTGGGGCAGCAGGAGTACTAAACACCTTGCCCCAGCTCTATGGCAGCATTCCTTCTATCTGTCAGAGCCTGATCTTCAGGTTAATTTTCTAATATCACCCCTGCACTTTCCCCAAGAGATACCTGGATCCTCCCTTTGTGACAGTAGCTGATTACACAGGAATTACTAGTCCATTGTTACTTCACTGGTCTAAATATGCAAACTAACACTATAAAATCAGACACTCATTCAGAGGCACATTTTTAGGTACTAAAATCCGAAACCTCTTTTATTACAAGATTTATAAAGGAGTTATTCTTATTCATGTTAGTATTCTCATTGTGACTAAACTCATTAAAATTAATCATTAAAACTTATTGTTATAATTTGGCACATACGTTGGTAATTAGAATTTATCAAGAACGCTTCTTGTGTGCAAGCTTCCTGAGACCAAATCTGTACTGATTCACCTCTGGGATGTTTGCTTTATTTGATATATTTCGTTTATGCAACATATAATGCTCTTTCTTACAGCCTCTGATTGGTGTTTTCCTGTCTTTATTATGTACTTCTGTTTTGACAAACAGATCTCAAGAAAAAGTTACCAGTAACATTTTATTACTCCAAAGGGAAATTAAAGGAGGTATTCTGCCTGATATTTAATATTTAATACTACAAAAAGAATAAAAATGGCAATCATTAAATATGAATGCATACAGCTCAGAGAACAAAATCCTAAAAATAAAGTCTCAAGAGAATGGAAGAAAGGAAGGAAAAAGAGGACTAAAATACATGAATTGGTCATATCACCTCCAAAATTACACTCAGTGCCTTATCTACATACAGTTGCAGAAGCCAATATATTGCATTTTGTTTGTTTTTCTTAGCCATTTCTTGAAAAATTGATAGAATTCACCATGCTATGATAATTCAATCAAAACCACCAGTTTCAAAGAGCTATTATTCACTTAGTTGGATTATACAAAAACAGTCAGCTGTATGTAAAACTGCTATGAAAGAAATACTAATAGGAGCAAATTACTACTACAGCTATATGGCATTTAGAATGTGCCAGACACTGTGTAAGTGCTTCACACAAACGCATTCATATAATCCTTACCACAAACCTATTACCATCACTCTCAATTTACAGTGTAGAAACTGAGGCACAGAAAGGGTAAATAACTCATCCAGTGTCATAGATTTTATAAGTGATATAAAATACATGATATAAGACTATTCAAACGCAGGCTGACTCATTCCAGTCTGTGCTCGTAACCATTGCACACACTGTCCCTCATAGGAAACACTTGAATATAACCTTTCCATCACTATGTTTGTAGCTAAGAGTTCATTTATGTTCCTTTTTCATTACATGTATAATATTGAAAAATTGTCACCCCAAAGTACTTTACATTGAAAAGTAAAACTGACAGGGAATAACAGAGAACAGTTAAAAGCAAGTTTCATGACAGTGAAAACGGAACCTCAGGGATGCTGCCATTGATGCAAGATCCTTTGGTTTTTATTTAACCAGTATGGTTGAAAGGATGTCTACACTGGATTCTTGGGGAGTTCCAGCTTCTCTTTTTAAGTAGCATCCAGTTAAACAATTATCTGGATTATTTTTCTTTCAGGCTGCAACCACAGCCAGCATGACACACTGCCTCATCAATTCTACCCTCCTTTGGTTACTTTCCAGTCAGATGGAAAGAACTCATACATAATTATCAGCTTGAGCGGTTAGTATCTTCCTTTTCATGTTTACAAATTTCCAGTAGTTTGTTTCCTTTTCCACAGTTACTTCTAATACCTCTTAGACTAATAGGAATTAGAGTGTGAGACAAAGGAGGGATTAACAAATTTTGCTAATCCAATGGTCCCCAGTCTCTGCGGTGGGTGTCTATAAGCCAGAGAATTGTTGCTAAGGATGTGTGAATTCTTATGTGCACTAAGAGTCATTGGTAAACTGAACAAATAAAGTGGTTCCAGAGAGTTTAGGGGGCTTCCATGTGTCACACAGCCTGCCAGTGATAGAATTATGATGAGAAGTCGTATCTACTGGCTTTGAGTAAGGACTCACTCCATAGCAAACCACTTTTTCTCTTCAGCTAAAACTTTACAGAAAATCTTAAAATTTAATATTATCTGTTGGAAACATACTCATTTTATAGCCTAGTCAAATATCTATATATATATCATGATTACAGACAGAGTAGCACATATATATAAATCCAGGTAATCCCCAATCCCTTCATGCTAACTTCTGGCTTTTTAAAAAATTATGAACTTCTATTTAACTATCTAGATTTGTTGATATTGTTTTCTTCTTCCATTCATAACCACTTTAAGATTGATTTACTGAGTAGCCCACCACCCATCTGTCAGTTTGTTTTACTGTGGTGGCTTATGTGTTGCTTTGATGCTCGAAACTATGCCACTCTTACTTCAAATACCGGCAGAGTCATCCATGGTGGACAGGTTTCAGTGGAGGTTTCAGAAGAAGACACACTAAAAAAAAAAAAGCCTGGTGATCTACTTCCAAAAATCAGCCAATGAAAACGTTATGTATCATAACAATCATGAAGATGGCACAGGACCAGGCAATGTTTAGTTCTGTTATACATAAAGTCACCATGAATTGGAGCCAACTCAATGGCATCTAACAACAATAACAATGAGTCGTCAAATACTTGAAAGCAGGCAGTAAATTAAGTAAGAGAAGAACTGGCATTAGGTTTGGATTACCCACAAAAGGCCGAATCATTTAGGGTTAACTATCACACAATTTCATTCTGATTAAACCTGGATAGGAGGAATCATGAAACTAATACATTATAAGTTGAACCAAATGAAACTGTCAAAATTTTACCATTTTTTGTCCTACCCGAAAAGCAATTTCATGTGATTCAACATAATAAATACGTTTTTATGTTTTAACATATTAACTATTTTTCATATTCCAAAATGTTCACCATTTTTGATTATAGTCATGAATACCATATTTCTTTCTGATTATGCTGAAAAAGGCACTGTAAAGTCTTAGAGAAAGTAAAACTCAGTTTTATTTCTTGCTACAATACTCATG